GATGGGGTAGACGTGCTCACTCCAGGGGTGGGCCAATAAAACTGTCTGTGAGCAGCAAAATAACTGAGCTGAGATGGTTTGATGGTTCAGGCTGTGGATTCTTTTATGAACAACTAATAAATGACATCCCCCAGGACGATGCTGTGTGTGAGTGACAYGGAAAAGCCTGTGGTCCTCACTTTGTGAAGCAGGAGGTCTGGTGGGCTTGGTTTTGGATTGACTCTGATTGCCCAGCATTTCAGCAGGAAGGAGCCTGTCCCACAGGGCTCGTGGCTGGGAGCTGRTATCCCTTCAGACATGGGAAGGGCTGATTTATGGCAGGACTCACAGCACGAGTCGTGGGGCTGCACAGGCTCGAGGCTTTCCTCCCAACCCCTGGGAGCACAGAGAGATGGAAATGCTGCAGATCCCATCTGTCTCCTTTTACATCCCTGCCTTCATGAGTTCAGCAGGAGAGGGAACTGCGTGGTTCCTAAAGATTTATGATGTTGGCAGCTTTGAGAAAATGTTTTTTATGTGGATTTTTCAACTTTTTCTGCTTTGCAAGCAACTTCCCAATGCTTTTCAGTGCTGAGCAAAGCAAATTTGTGCACATATTGAAAGCCTGTGCACACCAAGAAGGGGGAAACCACGAGGATGAGTGAGGCAGCTGCTGTTAACGAGGTGAGGCTGAGCCTGGAGCACAGCACAAATGTGGAGGCTGATTCTGAATCACAGATTTTTACCGGGGAGTGTGTAAAACATGCAAAATCATTAAGTTTATTAAAAGGAGAAAATGCAGTTCAGCAAAGCTGAGACAAAACCTTCAAGCAAACTTTYTGGATGCTTGTGGTGTGCTGCTTTTTGCACCTTCGTGCACAGGATGTGGCTCAGGAGCAGTGAAAGAACACCACTCTCCTATTCCAACCTCAGGACTATTTTCCTTCCAGTGGAARGTGTCCCTGCCCATGGCAGGGATTGGGATGAGAYGATTTTTAACCATCCAACCCAAACCATTCTGTGATTTGATGGCTCTGTGAAATTTGCAGAACACCTGTCAGAAATATTTATTTAAAGTTCACATATACTAAAAAAARCACAAGCATGTGTAAGAGTATTTATAAAGTCAATTAAGTCTGCTGTATTTTTGACAGAAATCCAAGGGTACACCAGGTTTCAGACATGAATCGAGCTGTGCACCTCTCAGTTTGTTATGGGGTTTTATGCATTTCAGTTTGTTATGAGGTTTTAGGCATTTTGGTGTTCACATTGATAAAAAAGCTGTGTTAGCTGCTGGGTGCTCTGTGGACAGACACTGAGAACAGTCTGAACCCCAGAGGGGTGATTCTATGGTTTTATGATTTCTGTTTGAGGTTTTTTGCCCCAAAAGGTTACACAGTCCTTTTGTTCACAAAAGTCAGCTCCAGACTTGACCTTTCTGAAACACCTGAGCACAGGAGCCTGYTCAGGGCTCTGAGCACCCTGACCTGGCTGAGATGTCCCTGCTCAGTGCAGGRGGCTGGACCAGATCCCCTTTAAAGGTCCCATCCAACCCAAAMAATTCGATGATTCACAGATCTGARGCCAATCCCTGCCTGGCTGCTGGACAACAACAGGGAGACACAAAACCATGGCAATCAGATGTCCCCAAGGAGCAGCTGGGCTGACCTTGTGGCCTGCATTGYTTTGTTGCACACAGAATCATTTTTTTTTTTGGTCATGCTAGGAAGTTGCAACCCCCGTTTCCAACATCAGAGGAGATCAGATGTGCCAGGATCCCTGCTGATCCCTTGGCCTCTGGCTGAACTGCCGGGCTCAAAGTCAGCAACCAGCAAAGGTCACAATGAGTCAACCACTAAAGCCAGCTGAGGGAATGCAGCATTTCTGCTGTGGAAATGCTCTTGGAGGCTGGATGTGGCTGGCCAGGATGGGGATGAGCCTGGGTAACACTGCTCCCTGTGTAGGGCAGCTCATCAGCCCTGTGCCAGGAATGACCACAGCCCTGTTGGACCCTGAGGCCACCCCACTGCAGGGTGCTGCTCCTGGTGACCTTGCCAGCAGTGCTGCAGTTTGTCATTTCTCCACCTCAGCAGGCTGAACCACTCATTTGACACGTGTCAGTCAGCAGAGTGCAGTGAATTGGTTCAACCTGTGACATGATGCCTTAGGATTTCAGAATTTGTACTTCCATGTCTCTGTAACCCTGTGATTCTTCAGTGCATAACTCCAGACTCCACAGACAGTGCTGAGCTCCTGCTCTCCCATTTTTACACAAAACAATTCCTCTGCAGCCCCAAACTCAAGGACACCTCCCTGTGCCAGGCCCCAAGAGATGGAAACAACAGAGAATTGGGGGAGCCAACTTGGAGGCAATGACTGCATTGGCTGAGCTGCAATTGGAGGATTCAGCCCTGATGTGCAAATGGACAAAAGTGAGAAAGGGTGAAAAACCCRTGAGCCATTGTCCATTGTGGGTGCAGCCCCTGGGTGGGCTGGGACTGCCCTGAATGACCCTGAAGGCCCTGCAATGARCAGAACTGCTTTGGATTCTCTGAATTTTGTCCAGCCTCTGGTTTAGGTAGCTGGATTGAGGCATCAGACACCACCCCCAGCAGCCTGGGGGAGCAGAGGGGAGATGTGCCAGGGGTGCACTGCACAGGATGCTTTGGAGAGTGCTGAGTACACACAGCTCTCGTGGAGGCTGGCTGCCTCATTAGCATCTGGGAAACTCATTAAGGTTTTAGGAGTTCTTCTCCAAAGTATTGGCTTCTCACAGCTTAAGGTCACTACAGCACCGCTGTAACTGCACCAACCAGATGGATTTTCTTTCACTAATTAGCAAGTGGAAAAACTTAAGAAACCAATGTCAAATCCAACAGCACCAGCCAGGCAATGCAGGTTTTTGTTTTAACTACAGAATTTGCCATCAGTTCACAACTCACAGATATTATCTATTTCTTTCCCAAAATTATCTGTTTCTTTCTTTCTCCTGAGATGCCTCTTCCAGCATCTGTGGAAGACATACAAGAGAAAAGGAATACAGAGAATTAATCTAGGAAAATTTCAAGGATTTATGTGAAACCTTCACACTCATGAACCTACAACATCCCTTCCATGTAGGGAAATGCCATTTTCTGGATGGTGAATTGGAGGGCTGTAATCCCAAAATTGCTTTGTTTCTCCCCATGGACTGAGAGAAGAGCCTTGAGGTGGCTGTCTGCAGGAGCAGGCACCAACACCACAGGAACAGTGAGTCTGAGCAGACACCAGGGTGGCCAGAACATGGCTCTGTCCCTTCACAGCTCCTCTCTGCCCAGGCTCCTGCTCCACACCGCCCTGAGTGACTCCATCCTGACACATTTTCCATCCCAGGCCCATTTGTTGGGCACAGGGCCTTCCCTCAGTGCAGAGCATTGGGGTGGGGTGATGCTCTGCTGGAAGCTGGAGCTGTGTCCAACTCCCTGGATGTCCTGTATGTGCAGTATGATGGACCCAAACCCAACCCCAAACCAATATCCCTGATATTCCATCCAATAAAGCAGCACAGCCATCTCCACTGCAGCTGGAACTGGRGATTCATTGCAAAGGAAGAGGGAAAAAGGTTTAAATAGTGTCAGAGGGAAGCAATTAGCCCAGATCCAAAGTCAACTTCTCCTTGCTGCCTAAGCCACTCGGCACAGGCACGGTCTGCAGGGCTCAGAACTGCAAACATTTTCCTGGAAGAGCTTTGGAGAGTTGTGTTTTGAGCATTCGAGAGCTCATGGGAGTTCATTTCCATAATGATTCACTGAACACAAGAAGCTTTGTTTTCCTCCTACACAATAAGCTGTAAATCCAAAGGAATTTTATCAATTCTCCTCAAACACACCCGAGGACACGGACACACGTGAGCAGAAACACACACATGTACACACACATGCACAGAATGCTGTCAGTCCAACAGATCCACCACTGYTCTCCTGGCATAGCTGAGACTGCTCCTGCTGATCCAAAAGCTACATCTGAATCACCCCAGATCTGTGCCACGAATGATTATTTTGTTGAAAAGGAGGGCTTTAAAAGGCATCACAAAGTAAAGARAAGAGTTTTCCCTAAAGAGACATGACTTTATTCATCTTTGCGTTCCTGCCAGGAGAAAGCAAACGAAGGAGCTGCTTTTGAAGAAAGGAGACATGAGCTTGTTTCCAAACCCCCTGATGTGCACATCAAAGAAAGGCAGCAGCCAGACCTTGATTGTGTTCATTCTTCCCTTCTGTTAGAGGCACGATGACAATGTCACTTGTAGGATGACAGGATAATCCAGGTTGTAAGGCAGATCTCAGGAGCTCTCCAGTCCAAATATTCACAGCAGGCTCAGAATGCTGCTCAGGGCTTCATCCAGCTGGGGCTTGAAAAATCTCTGGAGATGGAGATTGCACACCCTAACTGTGCGACCGTCTTCCTGAGGAAAAACTTTCTCCTTGTATCGTATCTGGCTCTTTTCTGTTTTACTGTGTTTCCTCCTGCCTCAAACCACTGTGAGGRGCTGGGTCTGTCAGCAGCCTCAGGAGAACTGGCAGGCTGTTGTTAGCTCCATCAAAAAACTCTGCTTTGTTCTGAAACAGCTCCTCCTGCCTCTCTGCACATGGTAGGTGCTCCAGACCCGAGCATGGGGTTGATCTTGATCTGTTTTATTTTGTACTGGGGTCACCAAACTGGGCACAGAGTCTGGCTGCATCTAAGAGGTGCGAAGAAAAAGGGAATAATCGCTTCAAAACATCCCAGCCTGTGTCAGTCACCTTTGCTGCCAGTTCACATGGCTGCCTCGGGCTCACTGCAGCATCCACAAGGTCCCTGGGTGCTTTTCCATACGGTTGCTCCTCAGCCATGTCCTCGCCTTCAGGAGAGGGCACACATGGCCAAGGGACTCTCCTTGGCTGCCCAAGATATCTGGGGAAGGTCTCAGTGCTCTGCTCACAGGTATCCTGGATAATAATGAAATCATTGATTCACTATTGAAAGGCAGGACAAGCATCACTCAGTGCAAAATCAGAAATGTTTGTTTTCTTGACATCAGGGTGCGTGGCTCACTTCCAGTTGTGCCAGCATTTTCATCAAGGGCTATCCAGGGAGAGCAGAAGCACTTGTTTATCTCTTCTGCAGGCGGTTTTTTTTACGTGGGATGATTTCCAAACAGCTAAACTCAAATCCATTTCTGAGCAGCCCCATTCCATGGGATGGCAGCAGCAGCTACTGTAGCTGGTTCCAGGAGAGGTGAGCATTTTGTCATCTCTGCTTGGGTGTGCCAAATGCTGTTGGTGCCAGATGTCAGCTCTCCACCTGTGGGACCAGAGAGCACAGCAGAGACAGGAGCAGCACCACTGCTGTCAGGAAAGTGAACTGTGAATTTCTTCCAAAGTCCTGTGGGTGAGAGCTTGCAGAGTTGAAAAGGTTAAATTTTTATCTTCTTAAAGCTGCACAATTTCCTCGGTTGTGTGCCACATGCAGTGGGAGATCAGCCCCCTGACTTTCTGACACAGACCAAATTTTAGTGTCTTCACCTATTTATTGGTCATAAACATTCAGTGTATATTTACTGTCAGTGAAAACAGGGCATTGCAGGCACAGCCCAAAACCACTGGCACAAGATGGGTGCCCTGGCATGGATATATTCCAGTGGCTCACTGGGGTAAACTGTAAGCTCTAAAGCACCCAGAGTTAACCATTCGTTCACTGCTCCAGCTGCCCAGTTTCTTTTCTACTCAGAAAAAAMCACATTCATTTCTGCTACATGCCTGGATGTCTGCTACACTCCTGGCAGCAACCATAAACTGCAATTTCTGACAGTTATCTGCTGCACTGCAAATCCCTTTTTCATCCCAGCATGGCCCAGGGCCAGAGCAAACACAGAGATGCTCACTGTTCACATTTCTGGCCTGTGGACACATCCCTCCCTTCAAACACAAGATGCCAGGGGCTGTGCATTGCTGCTGTGATGCAGCTGATGAATAAAACCTGGTCCTCTCTCATCAGACACTCCAATCTCCCTCCTCCCTCTGTTATCTCTTTGAGGCACACGAATCCAAATGAGTTAGGAGAGGGAAAAGTTACAAAATGCTGTTTATTTGAATTTGCTGTTCATCGCCAGCAAGCTCAAAGCAGAATGTGACTGAGCTGTTAGGACAGGATGCCTCCACAAGCAGGGGATTTATAACAATGTCTTCCAAGGTATCTTCYGGCCCCTGAAAACTACAGCAACATAAATCTGGAGGTTTAAATACAGTTTGTGCTGAAAAGTTCTATAAAACATCTGAAGAAAATTCAGAGTAAGCTTGATAAAAGTGAAAAGAGCAAATTACTCCAGCTCTGTTGAGACACAGGTGATGGAGAATACATCACATGATTTTTTTTTCTTCCTGCTGTAGCAAAACCCAGTGGAGAGAGTGCAGAGGGACAGRGATCCAGCGTAAAACCATGAGCTGAGGAGGAGGCAAATCTTCTTGCATTTAAATGCCCTCTTGTTAGAATTTTACCATGAGGTTGTTCATCTTGGCTCATTATCAAACAGGATTCCTTTCCCTTAGATCTTAGATACAAAACCACTCTCAAGACAGGTGTCCTCTTCCTTTCCAGAGTAAAGAAAACGATGCCTGGTTTTATTGAAACCAACCCAGAGTAGTGTTTATTATTGAAAATATACAGTATTTTTGAACATCACATAAAAAGCCAGGTAGATACAACTGCTCTAGTTCAAAATGCTCAATAGATACCTTTGTGCAGCACGTAGCAAACATCCTCTTCTCATTATTATTTTTACAGTGCTTCCCTTTTGTATTTTTCAAACCCAGAAAAGTTGTCCTTCCCCACCCCGATCCTCTGAGCTGAAAAGACGACTTTCCAAAGGCTTTCCACCTACATTGTGCTGAAAGYGTGGGGCTAAGAGGAATGAGRGTAATTTGTAGAGCTACTTAGAGCYACTGCTGTCCTTTGAAAAATCTGTGAATGAGCAGGGCACGGTGCTTGCCAGGCAAAGTGCCCTGTGCTGAACAGTCCAGCGCTGCCCTGACGGCTCCCAGTCTGTCAAAGGGAGAAATGGGGAAGGCAGATAAATTCAGGTTTTTCACACCACTTTTGAGACGCTCTTTTCYTTGCTGCCACGAGTTCTCAAACGACAGTTTTGCAGAGAAGGAACTTTTTACAAAGGAAACAAGAAAGGAACGGGCTACTATACACCAAACTGCTGAAACCATTGGGATTCAATGTACAGGGYGAGATGGGCAGCGTGTTAAAAACAGTCTTTGTTCACCACGATACGAAAGGGGGAAAAAACCCCAAAAAAGGATAGAAAGGAGAAAAAAATTTGATTCCCGCCAGTGTGCTGTTTCAGACCTTGCATTGTGAGCTTCCACAGGATATAGCCAGGGTTGAACCTGGTCCATCTTTGAATCTGTTTTACCACCACTGACTCCAAGAGGCTTTTTCCCGGCGGCCTTAGAGCAGCATCACGGACGTGGGAGACGAGAGCCCCTCACTGAGAAGAGATCAGCGAGGACAAAGGCAGAAAGTCTGCACAAAGAGGCTTGGGGCGGAGGGGGAGTGAGGCCAGCAGAACTGTGAAGGCCACGGGGTGGTGGTGGTGTCCATCCGTCTGTCCGTCGGTCGGCGTGGGGCGGTCACACGGCCGCGGTCTGTTTGATGCTGTGGAAGCTGATGCGTGTCGGGGACGTGGGGATGGACATGGCCCGTGCCACCCGCACCCGCAGGGAGTGGTGATCCTGCCAGCGGTGCCACCTCTTCCTGGCAGCAGAACGCACCTGGGGAGTGACAGAGGAGAAAGTGTCAASGGGAAATCCCAGGTGCTCTCTGTAGAGGTGACGCCTGATGATTTTGGCCTTTTCTATTTTACATATAGAAAATGTTATATATTCTATATACTCTTTTAGATGTTTTCTGTACCCTTTGCCTACATGCCTGCAATTCTTGCAGCCTGATATTCCAGCTTAATTTTGGGGTTCTGCTGGGCAGAAAGACCAAACAACCCCAGAAGGAGGCTGGAGAGCCCCGTGCTGTTTCAACCTCGAGAGTTCAACCTTGGTTGGAGCCTTCTCTCTGTAACAAACTGTGTAAACTGGGCTCTGGCTTCATCTGGGGGATGGATTATTTATAATAGGGGGATGTTATTTTATTTATTAAGTTCTTTTATTAGAGAATTCTAGACAGATATGCTAATTTGCGAAATCTATAAAAATTGAATCCGTGTTACACACGAGGTGCATCTTCAGCATTTTCCACCTTGATGAGCTATGCACTGAGGATCCTATTAAACACTGAGGTAAAACCCTTCTATCCCTTTAACTGTATCTGCCTCATAATTCTAAAACCAGCCAAAAAGGCAACAGAGAGATGCTGGACACTGCTGAAGGGAGTAATAACAATGTCAAGGCACCAAAACATTCAGGGATTGACTCAGATGCCTGAATAGGAGTTTCTTGTTCATTGCTGTTCTCTTGGGTATTTGACTCTGGCAAGAAACTTGACTTTTACATATCCCATGTCTTGAAYACCCCAGAGCATTGCCAACAGGCAACTGAATCGAGCCCTGAGTGGATGGACCTGGAGCATCCAAARTTTGTCCAAGACCTGATGGAAGCCTTGGAGAGCCCCAGCCCAGGACACGGATGTTGTCCCTGGTGGCCCTGTGTGTGAAGAGCCACAGGGRATGTGACCAAACACAGGTCCCACAGCACAGACACACTGACCCAGCCACTGTGAGCACCTCGTGCTGGCAGKGGAAGCTGCTCCACACCAGCAGAAGGTGCTGATAAAAAGGTCAGATGAACCTTGAATGTAAGTGCATTTCTTTGCACGGAGCACAGAGAGAGCCCAGGAGCTCCAGCTTGAATATATATGTATGTAAACAAGRGAAAAACAGGAGAAAGGAGCCCTAAACCTCACACAAAGTGGGAGGGAAGGCTTGACATAGTTCTAAAATAGACCACAACCATTTCCTGCCAAATCCCTGGCAGAGAAGACTCAAAGTCAGAACCTGGGATGAAGCATTTGGACCAATTTCTGGATATTCTTGTTGATGTCTGCTTACTGTAGAGAGAATTCTGACCCCTAACCCAGGGAGCCCACAAAATCAGGTGAGAGGAATCTGGGCCCAGCTCCTCGGACAGCCTGATGTATCCATGACACCTGGAAAGGATGCTGACATTCCGCTGCCAAGCTGAAATCTGCTGAACTCTGAAACATATGACTTCTCGATTAAGCCAGGGCCCCCTTTGCCAAAACCAAACTTGTTTAGGAAGATAGGTTAAAAAAATTTAATGTAGATATTGAACACCAACTACTGACCCACAGATCTCTCCCTGCCCAAGGAGGAACCGGTCAGTGTGGTCAAAGGGGATGATTCACCTCCTTCTAAAGCAGGTGTCCAAAACAGGCCAGATATTTTTGGTCAGATGAAAAATTCCTATTTCCTTTAATTAGTTATAGAATGAGTCTAGACCAGTTCAATTTTAGATATGGTTTATAAATGTAGCTAAGTCCAGACAACGTTGATATCTAACCCTGAGTATTTTTCAGTCTTTAATGTACTGATTTTCACTGCATCCCTCAAAAATACAGTTTTAAGCCAAATTTTAGCATGGACAAGGGGAAGCTGGGGCTTTAACAGCAGTGAGGCTGTCGTGGAGAAGACCTCAAATGGATCAGCTGCCATGGAAACTGCACAAGGCCTGGGAGGAGCTTGCAGAGCATGTGGAACCCATGCTGGCACAGGTTCTCAGCTATCAGCACCTGGGTGAGGACAATTAAAGCCACCCTGGGTGTGTCTGTCACCACCACTGGCACTGCAGGGAAAGTGAAGGTGAAAAAAAAATTGCCCAGAGATGAAAAGCCACTGTTTTTCTTCATTTCTTTGAAAGCTTTGAAAGCCTGCAGGGGCTCTGTGAGGTCTGCTCACAACACAAGGAACACACAAAGTCTCCCACGCCAGCTCCAAAGTGCTGCCCAAGGGTGCTCCGATGAGTGGAAGAGCTCCAGGAGTGGAGGTTTTTCCAACCCAAACCACATCCTGTCAGCCTGAGGTGACCTGATGAGCAGGATGAAGGTTAAAACACACCAGAGTTCACAAGGAAGACACATAAAGGAGGAAATTGCTCTCCTTCTCTTGGCTGGTTTCAATCTTCCCGTTTCTGGGTGGGTTTTAGAGGTTTGGACAGACCCTGGGCTGCTGAGAAGCTGGTCTGGCACCTGACAATCCCCTCCCATCACAGCTTTGTCCATCAAATACACTTCACTGCAGGTTCACGAGCACCAGCCTGGAAAACAGCTCTGCAACTGCCTCTGGAACCTTTACAGGGAAATCCTAAACCTGGAAATGGGGCTTTTCTATCAGAGCCCTTCTAGAAGGCAGAGATTGGGCAAAYCAGACCACAGGATTCCTTTCTTTGGTTGTTTTCTCAGCTATGTGTGATCTGTGCCATGGCTTTMGGTCATAGCTTGGACTCAGTRATCTCAGAGGTCTTTTCCAACCTAACTGATGCTGTGATTCTGTGATTTAAGACAGGCAGCTGCAGATTTTTACAGTAAGGTGAGGAGAAAGCCACACTGGGTATTTTTCTTTTGGTTTTGAATCAATGATTTGCTTCAATGTAAATAATAATGGTTTTTATACTTAGTAGGGGTCAGGCAGAACCTTATAAAACAAAGACTGTGAGGGAATAGGACTGAGAAAGAGGAGAGAGAACACCCAACAAAAGGAGAATTCAAATTAAAACACAGCACTGCCTGGAAAAGCATGATCATCATGAATGATCTGGAGATGAGAAGGAGAAAAATGTGAATAAACAACAGTGCAGAGGATTTCTGGATGGGAAGAGCAGCTAAAACACCTCTGCACTTCAGGATGGGGCTTGGTCAGGTTTAACAAARCGTTGGGCACCTCAGACAAAGTGGTTTAAGGAGCACATGAAGCGTCAGATCATTGTCATGGGAAACACTCCCATGAAAACTTGATATGCAGAGGAATGCTGCCTCCTAAATGGTCCTTTTCCCCCAGATGTCACCAAGTGGCTGTTGGAGAAAATTTTCCTCCTTTCTTCTGGAATGAAATTTTGTTTTTTTTTTTTCCCTGAGCAACCAGCAGTGTGAACAGATACTCACTCAGCCAATGAAGCCAGATTAGATTTATCATTTGTGCTTCAAGACAACCAAATAAAAAAGAATCACCTGGAGATAAAGATGTGAGACTAAACAAGCAGTTGGCTTTTATGATGTGGTTTGAGATGGGATAAAAAAGCAGTAAGATAAAAAAGTAGTAAGAAAAATGCTGTCTTCTTGTACAGCTGGAGCAATCCCCAATGGCCTGGGCACATGGAAATGGGCTCTGCACTTACAGGGGTAAGGGCTAAGCATTTTTTTAATGACAGAATAATTAACTGCAATTAGCATGTGACCAGAGTGCAAGCACAAAAGGTCACAAAGGGCTAAGCTCAAATTTATATCTTGTAACTGAACTTGGAAATAAAATGCTAGGTTAACTTTAGGTAAGAAGAGAAAAAAAGAAAACTGGAAAAAAAGAAAATCATGTGTTAAAAAAGGACACCAAAAAAAAAAAGCTGTTACAGTGGAAGAGTAAAAGGAAAAGCAAAATGGCAACTTCCCCCATGGCTGTTAATCTCTGTAAGAGCAGCAACTTCTATTTTAAATTAAGCATTTCCAGAGTCAGGATCATGGCCCAGAGTCAGCATCAGCACATTTATCACCTGAAATCACCAGCACRAGCCTCTAACAGCCCAAGGGTGCTCCAGGCTGTCATCAGTGCTTCCAGCTCAACAAGCAGGCTTGGCAACACAAATTATCAGCCTCACCTCCAGGAACTTCAGTTGCTCTAGAGGACCAAGATGATCCCTGCTCTGAGCACAGAGTGTCTGTGCTGACCCTTGATCTGTCTTTTTCCTTGCAAATAGTTCCTCTTTCAGAATTACCTTTTTCAGCTCTTTCTGCTCTGTGTACAGTGAATAATCAGAGTTTCTGAGCATGTGGTCAGATCAGGTTTGCCAACAYATTTGTGCCTACAGAGTGTGGGCACTGCTTTGGAGCAGTCAAGAAAAAGGATTTGGATAATGGGATGAAAGGAAATCAGTGGGTGACAGCTTTTCTCTTCTGATTGGATGAATTAACCAGGGACTTGTCAAACTTTTAGATCACATTTGATAAAAAATATTGTTAAAAACGTCTCTTCCCCCTCCTCCACAGCAGAACAAGAAAAAGGAATGAAAGAAGCAAGAGAAAGATGAAAACATTCAGRGAAGGTTTTCTTTTGACAAAGCAGACATCAACTTTGTACAGCTATTACCTCTAATGGACACTGGCTGCTGGCTCATTTATCCCAGCCATTAATTAGAAATGAACTGGAAAAMGGGCCTTGAGCAACACTAAAAATCAGATTTTGGAAGAAATGTCGTGTGTTATTAGCAGAGAGGAAGAAGGCTTGATCTGCTCACCAGAACAAATGGGCCCATCACTTCTTGACATAATAATACTAAAATAYAATAGTTATGTGGGTGTCTGATAAGAAGAATAGGAATAAATGATCTGCTTCCAAATGGTAGTGGAAGCTGGAATTAAGACTAYTGGGATGCCTCCAGGGAACATCCCTCATGTGGAAGTGTTAACCAGTGAGGGCCAGAGGGACAGCAGGGAGTGATTACAGAATAATCACAGAATCCCCGAAYGGTTCTGGTTGAGACCTTAAAGATCATCCCATTCCACCCCTGCTGTCATGGACACCTTCCACTGTCCCAGG